CTAGATACTCATTAAATTAAAATAACGTTTATCAAACTTAATAAATAATATTTATTAGAGAAATATTTATAAATAATTATCAGTAATCTTATACTTTAACAACAACTCTGCTGGTAGTCATAGATTAGATATTATATGCTTTTAATTCTGTGATTTATTATTTTCTTTAAAAATTGAGGTTTAGTTGATATTTGGTAATACCAACTGCAAAATAGTTCACTGAACTCATCTTAAAAAAGGTTTTTTCACACTTGTCCATTATAAAACTTTTTTTTTTGTAAACTTGTGCAATAAAATGACGTCTTATTATTATCATTATTATTATCATTATTTAATACACCTTTAAAATCTTTATAATTGCATATATAAAAATAAAACTATTTATAAATCATCATAGTTTATGTAATTTAAAAAATAAATATATTTTTTTTAATAAATATTTATGAAATTAATTTAATAATGTTAATTTTGTTGCATAATTAACCTTAAGATCTACCTCGTGTTACAGATTTATAAATAGATTACAACTGTTACTTTCTTTTTAGAAGATCTGATTAAAAAAATATAGAGAAATATAGGTAGGTAGTAATTTAATTTGCTTAACTGATTACCTAATTATATACGTTAAATGTCAGTGGGATTTTAGTTTTTTACAGATTCGCTTGTTTTTTTATTTTTGCTTGTTTTGGTTTGGTTTTATTTGTACGTAAAATTAAAAATATGGTATTAAAATTCAATTTAAAAGTTACAAAAAAACCAGTTATTTAAACTGCTAGCCTGTGTATGTATTAAATACAGAGGTTACAAATAAAGGGTTAATACTATGTGACAATGTATTTTTAGAAATATTTTTCATCTCCTTATTTTGACCAATTATAAAACTTGTTTTGGCAAGCCATATATATATATATATATTTTTGAAAAAATAATTTGTTTAGCCAAACAAAAAATATCTATATATACTATAGTATTTATTTCTTCAGTAAAAATTTCATAAAATATATTATAGGATTCTTAATTTGAATTTTATCCAATATTAATTTTTATAAGTTTTATAAGTTTTTTTATAGATTTAAAATAAAATAGCTTTTTTAAATCCCTTTATTAACATTTTTACATGAAAATTAATCCTTTAAACAACGCTTGTTTATTAAATCATAAAAAAAATAGACAACAATATCATTACGTCATTTTAGGTGCCATATAGACTTTTTTACCAATTTTTCAGAATTATAAATTTATAAATAAATTATTTATTTATATATATACAAAAATATAAATAAACCATTATGTAAAGTTGTTTAAAATGAATTCAATGTTTTTCCTGAATAAAAAATAAAACTTAAAGAAAATGGAAAATGTGCAGGGATACTTTACATTTTAATAATTAAAATTTTAAGTATCCCTTCAATTATTGTAAATCAAATTGCAGTTTATTACAGTGTAGGGAGTTGAAATTATCCCAGCTAAACGCGTAAACACGTAAACATAATTTTTAGTCGTAGATTACAAATACTTGCTTGGTTTATCTGTATATATAATTGAGCTGGACCCCTACATCAGTTTCAAATTAAAAAAAAAAACAAATTATTGAAAAATTTGAGGTTAATTGATCAACAGAAAAACGTGCCCCTGAGGTTTTTTATTTTAGATAATTTAGGAAATACAAACGAAATAAAAAGCATAGAAATAATGGCACAAGAGGTGAAATATATTATTTTACAAATTATAATATAATAGTAAAGACTCTTTACTAAAGAGTGTGTCTCCGGATCGGATTGACAATAGAAAAAACTTTTTTATACTCGATACAGCTAATTTGGAATCTATGACCAAAAATTATGTTTACGAGTCCAAACGTTTAGCTGTAATATTTCAAGTTGAACATTTTCCTGTGTACAGTGTTATTAGTAATTTTTATTAAATTATAAATGCAACACAATGTATTATACCTTGTAATGTTGGTTGTCTATATTGGTATCCCACACTTTTAAACAAGGCGAATCCACGGTGGCCTGCAAACATTTTCCATTTTTCATGATTTTAAGCATTAAGCAAATTAAAAAAGCTTTTAAAAACTAACATTGGATCAAAAATTGGCATTTTATTACTTACAACTCAACATTAAATACCTATATCATTAACTTTTATTTTTAAAATTGCTTTTAAATTAGAAAAAAGAACATTTTAAATACAATAATTATTGGTGAAAATGTTATAGGTACTTACTCTCTTAAAATGAATTAGTCAAAAGTGACTGACTAATTGTCATAGCGAAAAAGCAGTCACTAATAGCTGTTATAAAAGTAAAGCAGTTTTTGAGATAGTCAATTCAATATTATAGGAAAAATTGATTGGATTTCAAAAACTGTTCTACTTTTATAACTTTTGACATTTTTGGATTTAACTGACAATTTTACCTAGAAATTGACTGCTAAATGTCCGAGATAAAAATTGCTGTTTAGAAATATTAGTGACTGCTTTTTCGCCATGACAATTAGTCATTTTACACTAGTACATTATAATATATATAATGATTATATTATACGAGTGTAGAAAATGGTCAATTATGAATGAGTATTCGTTTAATACGCCACAAGTATGCGAGTTTTATATAATATATTCGTTATTTAACTAGTGCAACAATATCTTAATTTGTTTAATATTTTCTTGGGTATAATATTATAATCCCAGGTGAGTGTGGGTAACAATTATTATTTTTTTATAATTAATAAGAAAAAAAGTAATATATATTTATTATTATTATAATATGTATATTAGTATGCCAAATACACAGTAAAAAAGTATTTGTTATTTTTAACCAAATAACAACCAGATTTTATGTTAATCCAGGTCTACATAACTTAATGTTATAACATAACTTATAAGTTTACAACCAACTGTTGAATAAGTAGTTTGTAATTATTTCAGACATTTTGTAGATATAATAACAAAGTTATATGTCATTAATTTAACCATAATTTTTGTAATTTTCAAAAAAGTTCTTATTTTTACCAACCTTTTTGTAACCCAGTGACAAAAGTATTTGTTGAAAATTGGAAACTTAAATGAAAATAATTTTGATAAGAATCAATTTCCTAAACAAAGAAATTAACACAAATAAATGAACACAAAAATAACAAACACACAATTACATCAAATTATAAAGCAATTTGGTACAATATAAATATCAGTACAACACTAACTGATGTATTTCAAAACTTTAACCCACTTCACTGTATACCACAATTTTAGTTTAAAAAGCAGTGATGGCATCTTTTTTTGGATACTTTGCACTTTGCACACTCGTTAAATAGGTATATGAGGGCATTCATTAATTACGTGAGGTGTTTAGGGGGGAGGGGGTCGAGCCAAACCTCACCCAATCTCACATGGGGGGAGGGTGGCCTCGGCAAATATCACGTAATTTTTTCTTTTCAAATGAAACAGTGTAAAATTGCGAGAAAACTGGGTTAAATTAAGTAAATAATTATAAGCAAATTATTTTTTTTAAATAAATCTAATGGAATCAAGCACAGATTAACTTATTTACATTAAAACCATGCATTTTAAAAAATCTCACGTGAAATTAAGGGAGGGGGGAGGGGGTCGAGTAAAATCTCACGACATCTCACCAAGGGGAGGGGGGGAGTCGAAAAATCGCCAAAATTGCCTCACGTAATTAATGGATGACCCCTAAGGATTTCGAATAACAATAGTAACAGATTTCTGGTAATATATTATAAATACTCCAGATGTTACGAACACGTTACAAATCAAAATAAAGGAGGCAAAACAAGATGTTGCAGACGCCGAAGTCAGTTGAACTTGTTGTTGCGTATTTGTTAAACAATAACAAAATTATCTGCCACCTTTAAAGATTAACAAATTGCCTATTACCTTTATAAAATGTAAAATTATTTAAGTTTAGTATACTAAACTTAAATAATTTTACAAACCCTGGTTTTATACAAAAAATTATGTGGGGACAAATATTAATTACGTGAGGCATTTTTCTGATAATTTGGACCCCCCTCCCCCTTGGTGAGATGTGGTAGACCCCCCCTATCCCTCAGGTGAGATTTTAGCCATTAAACTTTCTTTGCGGACAACATGATAAAAAAATGATTAATTTGTTTTAACAAATTTAAATTATAATACATATTTTTTAAACTCAAAAGTTGACATGAGATTTTAAATGACCCCCCTCCTCCCTTAAAATGAGATTTGCTGAGATTTTGCTGGACCCCTCCCTCCTATTTTTGTCTCACGTAATTAATGGATCCCCTGTTAAAATTTTACCAAATAAAATTAACAAACTACTAACTCATGTTTACAAATCGGATAAGAATTAGAGGTGGTAGTGGAATGTATAACTGGATCGAAACTGATAAAAATAAAAAATGCTCTAAAACTAATATAAATAAAAAACAAACCCATGATAAGCAACTAAAAAGTTAAGATCATGCCTCAGACCAAAACTATACTCACTAATCCGTCTGACAAGCTGGCCAAATATAGTTTACAGCTGTATCAAAAGCTATCTCGTCAAAACCTTTCTGACATTGTCGAAATCATAACAGGACACTGTAGACTAAACATGTTTACACTATAGGACTGCAGAACCTGTAACTGGGGAAAGAAAGCGTGATACATTTTTTTTGTGAATGCCCTGCTTTTCTTGAAATCAGAAAATCCACCCTAGGTGAAGGATGGGTCTACAACCAATATTAGCTTTACCTCTTTTGGAAGCTCGAATGGCTGAAAAATCTAGGAAAAATGTACCTCGGATATCTCGGTATCTTTTACAAATGGCCAACTGAGGCCTTAGTAAATGCCGCCACGACATGGCTACCATCCAGAAAATTCAATCCAATATTTATTTAATTATAAGACGAGGTTTATTCTAATTGTAGGTTTATTTAATATAAAATATGTACAATAATATATTGGATTACAATTAAATCTTATTTATAATTACATAAATAGGTAAATACTGTTTACAAACATGTTATAATAAACAGTGATAATATTGATCTTTGGATAAATTTGTTCACGTTAAATTTTTAAGTCAATTCAAAAAAATATTTTTTCTTATAATCAAGATGCAGAACTACTGTTGGCCTTATTGTAAAATGTTTAATTTATTGTTGGTTTTACAATTAATTTAAATTATTTTATCGATCTATAGGGTATTTCTTGCGGATAAAAGTTGGGTAATTTTTCTCCAAATTGTATGGTTTGACTAGAAACATCTTGAGATCCGACCTCGAATTGATAACTACTTAACGGAAAATGCGGAATGGCCTCGAGTGGAACCTAAAATGTGTCGCAATAAAATTTAATGCGTTAGAACAGTTAAAAGTTAACAATTAACATTAATATAAATATTAATTGTGATGCGCTTCGAGAAAACGCACCTTAGCGTCCCAGACGTAATTTTAGAGGAGAAAGGAAAGAACAGGCAAGCGCGCTATACGGCAGTACAAACGAAAAATGTTTAATGCGTTGTTAAATGAAAAATATTTATTGACAATTATTTTTAAATTTAGATATCATAATCCAAAATCGATTTTGGACAATTTTCTCGAATCGCGGCATAAATAGGTTTAAATTTGTTTTAAAGAAACTTTAATTTTAAAACTGCTGGACTCGAGAAGTTTATGCCTTTTTTATTCCGTTGCATAGTTGCAATCCTTTATTTAAGTTTTAACAAGTTTAATTGATTGATTATATGTTATTAGTCAACAAAAGTTAAATATGACTGAAGTTTAATTTAATTTACACATTTCAATATAATTTATCAACTTTTTTTATTAACAGTTATATAATAGTTTTAAAAGCATTTCAGTTTCAGACTTTTTAAGGATCATTTTTTCAATTTAAAATCTCCAATTATGACACACAGGATTTTATTAATTTTTATTTAAAAAGCGGCTTAAGTATCCCAGACTCCCCTATTTTAAGGTATCATGTCAATTTAAAATATGAATAATATCTAGGAAAAAACATACCTGTAAAGGCGTTGGAGTAGCAAAATTCATTGTAGGTTTAATCCTAGGCACATAGTTGAGGGGGGAACCAAATCCCACTCTATTTGGTGCCAAATACTCGTAACCATTTTCGTCTGGTGGTGGCTGTGGGAGGTAGTTCAGTAAAGGATCATTATAATCTATAGACATAGAAACTGGCATGTAACTGGGCAATGGGTTTAGTGGTGGTGGAATTGAGCTAGGAACTGCAGCTCGTATTTGATTGGGGGAGGCTGGTATTGGGGGGTAAAGGGGAGATTTTATACTGGGTCGGGGGTTAGAGCGTCTATTGGAGTATCCCAAGGATCCTGAACCCAGAGCATATACTCCTAAAAATAAAATATTACATTAAATAAATTTCATTTGTTGGAAGTTTCAACGTAATTAGTATAATATTATACGAGAGATAATGCAGTGTTTATTCACGAGACTATTATTCTCGAGTTGCCAGACGAGAGACTTAAATCATCCGAGTGAATAATGCGCATAATCTCTAGTGTAATACTATACTTAATATGATCCAATAAGAATTTAAATAAATGATTTTAAAAAATATTTTAATAAAACCTGACAACTGTAAAATGTTTAACTTCACTTTTTACCAATATTAAATGTTATTATAGTCGTCTTCTTCCAATTTATATCCCGATTGGTTTAAATCACCGTGAATATTGAAATCGGCCAATCACTGATTCCTACCAACGTGAACAATGAGTTCATTATTCCCGTTGTTAAACAGGGAATTTGTAATGTTTATCATTTATTATGAAAAAAAAAAACAATTTTATGCAATATGCTTCGCCTAAGCGTTTTCGAATATAACTGAGAAGTGCAGTGGTCTGTAGGTACCAGCTTTTCTTCCGTTTTAGTTTACGTACAACTTAGAATTTAAATGAAAGTATTTTACCGTTTCCTAGATCAACTACTCCTAAAGATCCTGATCCAAGAAAAAGTGCTCCTTGACTCATTGGTATATTTGCAGCCACTGCGTTAACTGGTGTGGCAGGTGGTGGATTCTCTGGAATTATTGCCCTTCCTAACGAAGTCGGTGGTATAACCTCCTAAAATAATAATTATGTTTTATAATCAGTACAGGGACGTAATTAAAGCTAACGTAAATAAACACGTTGTATTAGCATTATTATATAAAAACTGTGTAAAGAATTTGCTCTAAATAACCTGTACGTTAATAATACGTGCCATTGCCTTGGACTGTAAATATTGTTTATTACTTCTCTATTAAGGTAAATTATTGAGTTACCTGGTAACTAGTGGGTGAATTTAAATATTCTTTAAATTAATATTATATTATTGCCTTAATAATACTCCTAACAATAATTAAACAAAAAGTTTATGTAAGGTGGACAGTAATTTTAATTTGCATACATTTAAATAAAACAAGTATTAAAATCAATCAAGTGCGATTGTTACAAATATTAACCTTCCTTAATAAAACGTAGGTACCATTTTAATGAAATAATGGTTAATTAAATACTAACCTTCTTTAATAAAACGCAGGTACCGTTATAGTGTAATAATGTTTAATTAAATCGAAAGTAAAAGTAGACACCAAGAACTGTTACAATTTTTATCAGGAAATTGGCATAAGAAATGTTTTAATTAACTTGAAATGCTTAAATGCCTCCATAGAAATTTAATTGATTAAATTATTCCTCGTTATAAACTTTATTTTGAATGCGGGTTGCACCTACTTGAAATATGTATAGGCATATCCTTTTGTTTTTATTCTATATTACATTGATTAAGCTTAGCCAAACATAGATATTTCAAACATCATGTAACATAACTTGGCAGCAGTTTAATTAGAAATTTGTCATAAATATGGAAAATTAAATAGGTTTTCTCTAATATTGCAAACTCTACATTTTAAAAGTTACTTACTTAAAATTTAATACTTTAATTAATTTCAAGCTGTGTTATACAATACTTAAACAAAAGAAAGGTTTTTGACTTATATTGCCTTTATATTTAATCACGACATTTCCACTGGTAAGTAAATTCAGTCGTCCTCAGGTGAATACTGAATAAGTTAAGTAGCTTCAGGTCTATTTATATCTCAGCCGGGTGCACTGGACTATATATAGCCATAACTTCATAACTCATTCCGTATTCGCCTAAAGACGACTGGAGATACTTACCAGTCGAAACGTTGTCCTTAAATATAATAAGGCGATAGAAGTCCAAAACCTTTATTATTGTCTATAACTTCAAACAAATATATACTACAAATTTATGTTCCATAATAATGTGCCCTTTGTTGCCATATAAGTTAAACTTCTGTTACTGTCTTAATTAACTTAATTCACAGCCTGAGTGTGATATGGAAGTATGAAAAAGGTATTTCGTTACAGCCTCTTGATGTCATTAGGTATTATTAGTCTTTATCAGTAAAGTTTCAAAGAATAAGAATTTGCAAGAACTTTTGTATTCAATCTATAAGGGCCATGTATGATTTGGTATTAGGATTTATTTTAAGTAGGTACCTCTTAAACTCAAGAAAGCTTTTTAAGATCCTTTTATAGCAGATAGTTTACAAATGTATTTTTTAGCATATGAGAGCATCTGCAATAGAACATTTTCTGGATGTGCTATGAAACTATTTTGCCCAAAGACACACTGAGAGAAAAAATGTTGTAGAATCATTCAAAACGATAATAATTCAAAGGGATTCAAATATGTTTTGGCGTCATTGGTGTGTCCCATTAAATTAATAGGTGTATAACAATTTTATAATACATATCTTTTTGAAACAACGTTGAGAAAGGCAATGAAATAAATAGATTTCTTTTTGTATATATATTTTAAAGGGGGTACACTTTAAAAGTGTTTAAAAGTATTGTAAAACTGTTGGTAAATGAATATAAAACTACAAAATTTTCTATTTGAATCAAATTTACCCGATTATTTAAATTAATATAATTTTATATGCTTTTCATGGCATGATATTTCTCTGAGTGCAGGGTCGATGACTACTTTTGTTTCCAAAATAAATAATATTATTAATTATTATTTATCATTATAATTAATAATCTTTTCAAGAAGGATCGATTTTAATTCCGAACCGAATACACGCATAAACTTTTATAAGAAACATGACAAGATGTTTGGGATTTTCAGAAGAATCACTTGTGGAACAATAAAGTCTTAATTGGCTTTCATCAACCATCAAGTGTGCGACATCTTTCCTGGGGCTCTATTTGCTTGATCGCAAGAACACTTACAACTTATAATTGCTAATGTAGTATCGTACAAGTAACGTTAATCGTAACAAAAATTTAATGACACTAATACACTTTCAGTCTTTTCATACTTAAAAACAACTTTTATTACATTCCTCCAGTAATTTTCCAAAAGCGCCTGGATAGGAAGTGCGTCCAGTTGTCGCACCATATCCAGGTGTGAAAACAGGTGTAAAAGACCTGCCAGTTCTACTGTACCCTGACTTGGTAATGCATATTTGACATATAGTCTGCTCTTTTGATAACTAATATTTGATCTTCTACAATTAATTACTTATCGGTAGGTTTTTCCACCATTCTTTACTATTTTTAAGGTCCTTTCTGATGTCAATGTGGAATATTAGGAATATGGTCCTTGGCCGATAATTTTGATTTGTCTATAATTTCGACATCTGATTGAATGCAATGAAACGCAATTACTGCAGAAGCCCTGTCAGATACTGCATGTCCGATATATCGGTTCCAAAGTAATATCATTTTCATTATTTAACTCTTTACAGTCTATAAAGTATCAAATATACTAATTTGGCAAAACATAATATAACTTTTATACAAAAATAAATTAGACAATAAATAGACTCGATACTTCGCGATTTGGTGGATTCTGCTACCGCATCCCCACTTTAAATGCGAATATTATTTTCCACATGATGATCAGAAATACATTATTCATTCAGATTGTTGCCTAATTTTACTTAATACCATTGAAAATAAACTTTCAGATCCCTTAAAAGATGCCACAAAATTTACACAACTTTCTTCAAATTTAAACCAAATATAGATAGATATTAAAATTTAATAAATTAATACAAATTTAGGGTTTTTACATGACATATACAGCTTTCAAAAGCTATCAAATTGTTTTTTGTAAATTAATGTGTTAATTTTGAGGTGTCTTCTTACTTTTAAAAATGTCTCCGACTGATGTTGCCCTTTGTACTTTACTTCTTGTGACGTTTAAAACACTTGCCACGTAATACTGTGACCGTCCATCCTGGATTAAATTAATGGCTCTGGCAACATGATTCGGAGACATATCCATTTTTTAAAGTAAGAAGACACCTCAAAATTTAAACATTAATTTGCAAAAAACAATTTGATAGCTTTTGAAAGCCGTGTATGACATGCCCAAGTATGGGATGATTAAAAAAAACTGTCACTATCATTCTCCATAGCCATGGACCATAGCAAACTTAGTTCTTCATACAGGAAAAATATTGGAAATTGCAATGTTTTTTTTTTTAAAAATCCATATTTTTCACAAAAATAAATATATTAAGGTGAACCAAAAACAAAACTAGAACAAAAATAGATGTGACTTAATGATTAAAACTTAATTTAAAACAATATATGGTTTTGCCACTATACAGAGTGTCTTAAACTTATGGAAAAAAAACATCTTTTTGTTTAAACCTGTATATTATAAACGTACGTGTATTTTTTAGTAATTTTTAAAATGTGAGCGATTCTCCATTAATGAATCTACAATATTCTTTAATATTTGTTTAAATCCGAAAACAAATAAAAAAGTTATTCGCGATTGAAATTCATCGACAACTTCTGTGGATCGATTATTTTGCCTGTGAGTGTATTTACTATAAAATATAATAGGTATTATTTCTTTAAATACAATATTTTTTGAATAAAATGTTATATAAATGTAGAATATTACCTGTGCTTCTTGAACTGGTTTATCAATGGAATTGGACACAACTTGTGGTACTTGAGATATTCCATATTTGATTCCAGAAATTGGTAGATAACTATCGATTCCGGCATTTTGTTTTTGTATCGGGGTATTTATTCCTTTCCATTCTGATTGTGATCCATAACTTCCAATAGGAAACTCGTCGAATGAACCTCTTTTTTCCTTTCTCCTAAGTTCTGATTGTTTTGTTTGTAGTATAAACGTTATAATCAATAAAATTTGTAATTTCTAAAATAAAAGAAATTTAATTAGTTTAATGCTTAGAAAATGTGCAGAAGGTTAGATATAATTTATTAATAAAGGATTGTGCTGGTTTAATAAAGCAATTTTATAGTTCACTACAATTTGATATTTATATCCAAAGCGTACGTACAAACTTACTAAACTATAAATAAACTCGCACACGATAAAACGCTAAAAATACATGCAATTTAACAGTTTAATTTTAAAAGCAATTAAATTGAATATTTTTAATCAACAATCAATAATTATACTAAATCCGGTAACGCTTAAATTGTAACATTCAATTAGCTTAAACTTGCTTAGTTTGCTTTCTTTTTAATTCTGGTATTTAAAAAGTAGTATGCATTTTAGCTATTTATTCGTAATAACTAGTTTTTCTTAATTATTATATCTGGTATTAAATAACTACTTGTATAATGTAATAAAGCAGGTAATTATGCTGGAAATTATAGATTTACGAGTAAAATTATCTTTGTAAGTGGTTATCAGATATTAAGAAAAGAACATAATAAAAGTGTTTTCAGCATAAAATTCTAAAATTACTCTTAATCAAAACTTTGCCTGTAAATGTATATAATTACTGTATTTTTATTACTATAATGATCAAAACTATAAAATCTCCATTTTTACACTATAAAAATAGAGTTTAATATGAGCATTCTACAAGGATAAAATATTATCGAATGTACCTTTAACGGTTCGATTCACACGGTCGGATATTTTTTGACTTTTCACGAAAACTTGGGGGTTTGACATATTAGTTTGACGATAAGAAACTTGATAAAATCACAAGAGCGTAGCGAGTGATTTTTTTGCACAAATTTCATAGAGTCCAGTTAACAAACCACCAAGTTTGAGTTAAAAGTCCAAAAAATTGTCTGCTTAATCAAACCTCTAGTGGTATTTGTTGAGAAAATTCCACGAGTAAATAAATTAAGTAATTTTTTTGCCACTTTGACATTTCTCTATACCATTATACATTTCTTACCATGGAAAAGGTAAATAGAAAAATATTTGATAACTTTGGTAACTTGCATTTCTGTTCCTTTATTTGTATCCGTCAGCAAACGGCATTTTTGACAGTTTTTAATGGGATTAAATTGACAGGAGTGTTATTGTGGATTGTGTTATTATTAAATGATCTTAAAAATTTTAAAACCTATTTAAAGATTACCAACAAAAAATCTCAAATAAAATAAAATCAAAAACCTCCGTAAGGCAGTTTTCTTAATCAACGCTTTTAATAATGCTAGATGCAGTTTGAATTTAGATTTATTTGTTTTTTGATTTTTACTGATTTTTACTGAATTTACTAGTTTACAATTTTTACGTAAATCCTTACTAAAATGTTTATTTATTGTATCTAATAGGTGCAGTTTATATTTACAGGGACTGCAATTTATTTCTTCATTCGGATTTACACTGTTTATTGGGAAACCGGTAAAAACTCAACCCAGGATTTCCTCTCGAAAAACTCCCAACAACACAACAAATCGTGCCACAGTTTTCTGTTGATAATTTTAACATTTTCCGGCTTTATTTTTAAAAACACTCGTATTTCCTAAATTAAACTGTATAAAATAATACTGAACTCTGCAAACACTTTCTAAATCTTAACAAAGACTCAAGCCAACTCTGCATAGGCAATAATTACCATTTATTTAGTCAAAAAGGAACCAATCACTAAATTTAGCTATTTTATTAAAAATAAAGAAAAAACTGTAGAAAATAATAAAAATAGTACTAAAATGGAGTTTTAGAAATAACTCTTGAATCCTTGAATCTAGAATTAAAACTAAAGTAATAGAAACCACATACATTTTCGGAATCACTGTCATTTCGCTAATTAATGGCAGTTTGATAATCCATTTTTAGAACATTTTATTTTATTTAATAACTGTATATACATAACCCGTAACTATCGCTCATTTCAACTAACATAACCACTTTTGTGGGGTCTCCAAATAAAAAACGTATGTATAACGTATAAACAATTTATATAGGAAAGTAAACAGTTCTGTGCGTGACAGCAAAAACATATAAGTGAAGCAACAAAAAATTGAATATCGGGTTCACGTTGGACCCTACGATAGTAGTTAGGGGTTTACTGTATTTAACACTTTTTAAGAAAGAAACAACAAATTTATAAAATAAAAATATAAAAAAAGTTCGACAACTTCTAGTAGTATCGAACCTGGTACCTCTCGCATCCCAAGCGATCGCTCTACCATCTGAGCCATCCAGCTTAACATTAATTTTATAACTCTGGGGGAATAAAAACGGATTTACAGTATGTGACGTCAGTCGGGATCGAAGTTAAGTCCCGCCTCGGGACGTTTTACTTATCTGCAGTTTTTTAATGGTTTATCTGGCAAAAGTATCGACTTATTTCAATTTTTTGAGCAAATCTACTACTAGCACTTCACGCGCATGCTAAACTTGTGGGACTCTATTATGATTAAGTCGATTTTTTTACACCCGAAGTATGGTTTTAATTAAATTTTATAATGAGTTTTATCCTTCATTATAAATGGGTCTGTATAATATCTATTGATTAATATAACTTTTTAATTTAATAAAATGGAATTTAAGTTTCAAGACAAAAAATTCGGGATAACGTTCGTTATGGAGTATTTAAGGTAATCCGTAAAATGATCTGATTAAATTAATCTTTTACATCAAACGATAACGTATTATACAACAAAAATGGGTTTAATAAGATTTACTTTAGGATAACAGATTGGCGTTCGATTTTTTGCCAGAACACATATCGTCGCATTAAGTCCAGATTAATTTTTATTTATAAACTATTAAATGCTTAATTAAATGCAGTTTCTTTTTAATATTATTAATGTTATTTAATACAAAAAACTATTCACCGCCAAAAAATCAGTACAAACTTGCACATAAACTTTTCAATAGGTATAGTCGTTGAGAAGCTATTTTGTACTTTTTATTTTTGTATTCAGATAATTAAATAATTTCATTCATCATTATTTCACAAGAAGGGCACTTCATTTTAACTATTGTATGACATTTGACAACTGTCAACTAACTTAAAACTAACTTCAGCCTGTGACTAAAAACCTGTACTAACTTTAGCTCGTGACTTAAGCATTATACAGCCATAACTTGTTAATGTGTATTTAAAAATGACTTAGTGTCATGGAAACATGTATGATAATGGGCATTTTAAAGGTTTTTAGAGGTTAGCTAGATCTAGACACTAGTCAAATTATTGAATTGGTCCAAACGGGACTTCGAGGTAAAAAAAAACTTTACCTGATTGTTCTTAATTATGTTTACAGCCTGGGCGATAATCAATCACTTTAGTAGTGAGTGTTAACAATAATATAGAAAGCTTGAAGATAAAATTTTAATAGATTTGTGTAAGAAAATAAAAAAAATATATAAACCTAAAAATATATTTTTTATTTTTAAAGATAATAAAAAAACTATTAAAATAGGTCAAGCACGGCATTGGATTAGCAATGCTGTGCTAAGTGGTACCGTTTTAAAAACGTAACCCACACTACCGATATTGTATATTGTGTTACCTATATAATAACTTTTTACAAGGCCGTGTAACCACATCAGCTGCTATCACAAGCCATTAGACATGTTATTTCACCACGCGTTTGTGGCTAAGTAAACAGTGACATTTTACACGTATCGTTGTTGTTATTAGATTAAGCTTAGATAATCATTATTTTATTTTTATTTAATATGTAACAGCTTCCTTTTATTCTTTCAACCAGAGCGGGTTTAAAGCTTTACCTGCAACCCTTATGGTCCTAGACATGTCCTTATTAATCAGGTACTAGCATTAAAGTCCAATGATTTCAGCAAGATCTATCCACCATTGGACAATGGTTGTCCAACAAACACGTGTACACATATGGGTTATATAACCTTTAAATATAGCTTATATTATGAGTTTCTTCTCCAAAAAGGACCAATCTAGAAATATTATCGATAAACACAGAAATATGTCTATTCCGAGAATTCCATCTTGCCTCTCCTGGGCCGCATAGTAGAATATTTTTTAAACTTTTTTATAACCGATGCGCGCTCCACCAGAACCAAGACCGAACTCCTAAGGTATTTAAATTTATTCAATAGTGTTTTTTAATAATATTAATGCCACAAAAATATCAATCAATCAATATCTACAAATGGCCACAAAATAGGGGCACTATGGGAGAGCATTTACATAAAAAATAAATTTAAAATAAATTCTAAAATTCTTGAAAAAAATAATAAAGTTTATGGTTATGTCACTTTATTTGAAAAACGGCCTGTGAATGGGTCTTAAAATTTAAATATTCGACCAATAATAAAAAATTATGGAAAAAGTTTAGTAAGACAAAGTTAAAAACTAAACATTTCTAGAAGGCTATAAAATGTAGAAGGCTACGTGCATACGTACAAGAAGAAGTCGACGTTAAGGTGCCTCATGATCAACTTTATTTCGAATTTTTTTAAAACTTCACCATAAAGCTTAAACCATTTACCGGTCTCTACAACACTAAATAAATGGCAAAAGGTTATCAATAAGAATGGATCACATTTAAGTTGATAAAGTGTATTCAAAATAAGAAAGTGATTTGTTTACGTAAAGCAAAATGTCAAAACTGAATATTAAATACCAGTCAAAATTTTGTTTTGTCTATTTCGATGATTTTAAGAGCTGGACATGGTTTACATTTACTTCTAATGATTTTATTCACATTTTATAATATAATTTTGATAAACAAATCAGAAAAACGAGTTTTTAAAACATAGTTGACATTATAATTAAAAGGGTTGCGTCTAAAATAAAAAACTCCTAATTTCGATGTTTCTAAGAAGCTCTTAGTAGCACTGAAAATGATGCGTCTAAGAATACTTAGTAGCGTCTAAATGGACAACCTGTTTAATTTTAAAATATAACTTTAAGAATAAGAAATTATGCCTTCATCCTAAAATCTTTGGTCTCATCTTTC